GCGCCCAAAATGGGCCTCTGAACTTTAGGCCTGGCATGTCGCCCCCTCACTGCGCTAGTGATGTTGGGGCGTCGTGCCAACTTATGTTCTTGGCGTCACTTGCCGTCATCGATTCCTTTTCTCTCATGATTCAATTGCTTTCCTTAGGAACCCTACAAACAAAGCTAATCATGTATATTAGTATGTAATCATCACAATCCTAAGTCAAAACAGGCTAGTTAGATCAGTGAATGTCCTAAAACTTACGTTAAAGAGGGGTAATTAAAAGTAACTTAAAATGATAATCAATAATTAATTCAAAAGGCCTTCAATATTCAACAATCAATCCTTAGCTATAGCCCAGAACAAGGGCATTTAGCCACTCATACTATTCAAAAATCGCAAAATATAATTGTTCATGCGATTTCCAAAGTAAAGAAGAGTTAGAAAATCGAAACCTATTACAAAAGTTGAATATTGCTCTTGCACACCAAACTAATGTCAAACTCCCTTACAAAATAAACCTAGGCACTATTATACAGTTTAGGAAAAGTATTTCCAAATTTAGCCCAAAAAGGAATCCTAATTAAGCCCAACTTTCGCCAAAACGTCCGCTAGACCTTGGGGTGACGCGCCAGAATCGCACCTGTCAGACTGGCACACTATGCTTTCAGTGCGCCCAAAATGGGCCTCTGAACTTTAGGCCTGGCATGTCGCCCCCTCACTGCGCTAGTGATGTTGGGGCGTCGTGCCAACTTATGTTCTTGGCGTCACTTGCCGTCATCGATTCCTTTTCTCTCATGATTCAATTGCTTTCCTTAGGAACCCTACAAACAAAGCTAATCATGTATATTAGTATGTAATCATCACAATCCTAAGTCAAAACAGGCTAGTTAGATCAGTGAATGTCCTAAAACTTACGTTAAAGAGGGGTAATTCTCAAGAATTGGGAATATAAATATGCCCAAGATCACTACCCCATACTTAAACATTTGTTAGTCCTCGAACAAACTCTATCTTATCAAATCACACTCTTAACCCTTGGACTCCTCACCTTGATTTACAATCGGCCAAACATATTTAATCATGATCTTGTGGCACACACTATATGCAATAATTTCCATTCTTTCTTATAGTCTACCAATCAACAATTCACAACCTCAATGAATGACTCTTCTTCAATAATTTCGGGCTAATGCAATATCGTAGAGACACACCAAACAAGAGTATGCACCAAACATGTGACATGAATGCCCTCACCAATTTAAGTATAGCCTTTCTTTTGCACAAACACCATTGTATTTCAATCAAAAGGCTCATTTTTGTAACATTCACTCTCGCACTCATAAATGAAGTTTTCACATATCCTAACATGCTATAAGTTTACCCTTAATGTACTTTAATTTTCACAAAGTATTACTCATAGAATTAAGAGGACTTTCATTCGGTTGTAATATCGACTTTAGGTAAGGGAGGATACATTTGGGTAAAATTAGTGATTCATCTGCCCTAATGCACATGTTTTGATTTTTCTTGCTAACATTCACAACTTTTTCTTTCCATTTGATCCCCCTTTATACATATTTTCCCAATTGAACTTAAAACCTTGTCTTCTCTTTCACTTGAGCCCTTATTTTGTACACACCTCTTTTTCTCTTCTTTTTTTTCACACTTAACAATAGCCACCCTCAACTTATGGATTTCTCCAGAGTTAAGGTGCACATTGTCCTTGTAAGGACCAGGGCCATTATTAAGGTATTTTCCGAATTAGCCACCTTCAACTTAGGCTTTTAACCTTAGTCGAAGTGCACAATGTCCAAGGGACCAGGGTCAATCACAGATTTAGGAACTTATGAGGCATCCTTCTTCTACCTCTTTTCTTTCTTCACCACAGAACCAAGCATTTTCACCCTATTCACTTTCACCATTGTTTTCACTTTTTCATCTTAACATCGTTTATTAAGGATTACTTTGGGATCAAAACTAATGGTATCAATAAAAGGGAATCAACTTAATTAAGTAGGTTAGAACAAAATCAAGGCTAAAAGGCTCAGTGGGACTATACTAGGGATATTTTATTTGGAGGTACATAAAAAGATCTAAACTTCGCTATTCAAAGAAACGCCTCAATCATATTCCATAAATCACACAAGTTACACATTAGGCACACTTGGGGCAAGTTCTAGATGTTATTCAATGGAAAAACTAAGCAAGTACTCTCCACACATGGCATCACAACACACATAAGGACACAAACACTTGTAGCATGCATATAGAAAATGCATTACGGTGTTTCCACAAAATTAAGCCCATATTCTTTATTTTTCATTCAGAGTTAAGACAAAAAGATTATGTTTGTTTTCAAGGTCACCATCTCACTATTTCAAACAAAGTGTTACCACCCATAACGTCTAGCCAACTATCAAGACAAGGTTTGAAAGTACCCAAAAAGGTCGGTTTTATGCTTCTCTATTCCTAGTGACTAATTTTCCCTTAAGACGGTCGTCATCCATCCATCATCGGGAACCTTCACTCCTTTAAAGACTCTAAGACTCAACAAAACTAAGCAAACTATTCCTAGTCGGTTCAATGAGAGTATCCTCAGGAAAAGAACCAAAAACAAAAGTTGAGGAACCCTCCTAAAAAAAGAAAAAGACTCGATAAAGCAATAAATTATACACAACAAAGTTTAACTTCCACCCCCACACTAAAACAAAACAATGTCCCTAGTGTGCAAAGTAAAACAAAGTGAAAAAGTAAAGAGAACTCCATGTCGGCCTCTACGCCACATGCTTTCATTCATCAGGTTACCACATTGGTGGAAAAATCCACAGCCATTGAAGTTGTACTACCATCTCAATCGCCTGCATCAATATCATCATCTCCGGTGCCAACATCATTCGACACATCCTTCTCCGAGCCGTCCTCTTTATCAAAAGTTGTATCATCATCATCAATGGGTTCTTGGAATGCCGGACCCATCTGACACATGTACATTCTGCTATCCGTCAATGGGTAATGCTCCGCTAGTGTCTCCATCTCGTCCTCAGTCACCGGACGACCGCTAATCCATAATTGAAGCTCAGCCATTCCAAACATACATCCCATCCAACTGTCATCCTGAGCTTGCCTATCAGCAACAGTCAATACTTGCCTGTGGGACTGATCGTGGCTTTGGTTCTTGTGACATCAACCAGGCGACATACTAAATGAGGGGCAAGAGGGGGGGGGGGAGCACATCATGAACTTCCTCCTCAATTTCTAAGGTATGAAGGTACCTAGTAATGAGGTTGCCATAACATAAACACCATCTCATATTTGTCCAAAATTTCAACATATTCTGCCTCAAAATAGCTCCGACATTTATAGGCAGCCGCTTCATCAGTTGGTATACTAGCACCACTCTCTCCCTAGTGACCTCGGTGGTATGTTTGCATGGTAGTAAGGTGCTAGACATAATCTTCAACCAAATTTCCGCGTCTAAATTCAAGTGGCCATAATGGAGAGTCAAATGTCGACCCATGTCCCTAACTCTATTCGAGAAACAGAGTTCACCCCACACAAAGTATGCCTAATATCATGATAAAGGGGTCTATCAATCATAGCTAGATACTCAGAATTATCACAATCGGGGGCACCCAAAAATTCATTCAAAGCTTCCACAGTAAATCGCACACGATTATTTCTAATTAAACCTTGGTTCCACTCAACACGATGTGTATTCTAATTTGCAGAGAATGCACGTACTAAGCTCAAATTGTACTCACCTTGATCCACAAAGATATAGTAGAGGCCCAAAGCATGAACTTGGGTGTGAATGTGTGGAAATTTTTGTAGCAATCACCCCTCATTGACATACTCGTCACCCATATACTTTGATTCTAGTTGATAATCGTACCACTCTTCTCCATAATGCATAACAACTTGTTTGCCAAATTTTTGAGGCAACAAATTTGTGGTTTCCCAACTAGAACTTTCGGCAGCCGCTCCTATTCGACTCCTCTTAGTGCCCGAATCACTAGCAACATTTTTACCTTTTGGAGTCATCTTCACACCCAATAATGGAAGAAAAGAGGAAAGAAATTTTTTTGGGGGAAGAAGATGTGGGGGTTAGGTGGGCAGTGGGGTGGTGGGGTATATGGGTTTGGAATTTTTTATGGATTTTGGTGGTTTTTAGTGGTTGGGAGTTGAAGGAAAGGAAAGGGAAGAAGGTTTTGGTAGGGATTAATGGAGGAATTTGAGGTTTTGGGGAAGAATGTGGGTGGAGAAGAAGAAGACGAAAAATTAGGAATTTAGAGAGGATTTGGGGGAGATGGGCGGTTAGAGAGAGAAAACTAGAGAGAAAGAAGGGTGTATTTGGGTAGGTGGAAGATTTAAAGTGGGTTTTAAGGGGTGGGAACCAATGGAGAGGAAAATATTGCAAAATTTGGGCTCTTGGGCAGGCCTAGCGCATTGGTGGCGCGAAGCGCTGCCAGTGCGCCTGAAATGAGCCTCAAAACTCTGGGCCTTGGCGCGGCACGCCCTATATGAGCCCGATCTGGTGGTGCGATGTGACAAGTTTGCGCCTACTATCGGCATTTTCTTTGCCTTGCGCAATGCGCTGCCAGTATGCAAAAATAGGCCTCAGTACTTTAGGCCTTGGCGTGGCGCGGCCCACCTGCACCCTAACCTATTTTCCAGTGCTGATGGGTTTTTTTCGTGGTTTGTTCTCCGACAACCTGCACATTAACCAAACAGTGTGACATAATAATGGTGGGTTATCTCCCACCCAGCGCCTTAGTTTTGGTCGTGCCACGACACCTCTTTTTGTATTTTTCTTTATAGCTCCTAACTATTACAAAGCAATCAAGCTTAACCAAAGTCCTAAAAACTAACAAACTAAAGCTAAAAACTCTACTCTAAAAGTTTGAAACTAAGCTAAAATATCAAAATTAAGCAAAAATGACTACCTATAACATATCTTACACGGGTTGCCTCCCGTGGAACACCTGGTTTAACGTTGCGGCTCGACTTAGCTTGGATCATTCATCATTCAACTCAAGAGCCTCCCAATTACAATCTGAATCTTCACCAAAGTAGTGTTTAACTCTTTGCCCATTTACTAAGAAGGTCAGGCCATTTTCAACTTTAAGTTCAACGACACCATGTTGTGTCATCCTTGCCACTTCGAAGGAACCACTCCATTTCGACCTTAGTTTTTCGAGGAATAACCTTAGTCTTGAGTTAAAAAGTAGTACCTTTTCTCCCAGAGTGAAAGTGTGAGGAACTATATGCTTGTCATGCCACATTTTCGTCTTTTCTTTGTAGAGCTTGGCATTCTCATGCGCATGGAGCCTAAACTCCTCAAGTTCATGTAGTTGATCCACTCGCTTCCTACCTGCCAGTTCGAGGTCGAGATTTAACTTCTCCCAATATGCTTGGTGTTCTAATTGCGCCGGAAGATGACATGATTTTCCGAAAACCATGTGACAGGGATAAGTCCATATGGGTGTCTTATATATAGTTCTATACGCCCACAACGCATCACCCAACTTCTCCGACCAATCTTTTCTTTGTGCATTTACCGTCTTCTGCAAAATTTGCTTCACCTCTATGTTCGATACTTCTACTTGACCACTTGTTTAAGGATGGTAAGCTGTATCAACCTTATGGCGAATACCATACTTAGCAAGAAGATTTTTCACTAGATGGTTAATGAAATGCTTACATCCATCACTTATGATCGCCCTTGGAGTGCCAAAACGAGTGAAAATATGCTTCTTGATGAATTTAATCACCACTCTTAAATCATTTGAGGGAAGAGCTACCGCCTCAACCCATTTGGACACATAATCAACAGTTACTAGAATATATTGGTTTTCACTAAATGGAGAGAAGGGACCCATGAAGTCAATACCCTACACATAAAAAATTTCCACCTCAAGAATGTTATTTAGTGGCATCTCATGTCTTCTCGATATAGTACCCAATCTTTGGCATTGATCACATCCCTTCACATAAGCAATAGAATCCTTAAATAAAGAGGGCCAAAAAAAACCAGATTGTAGTACCTTATGCGTCATGCGCTCTCCTCCATGGTGTACTCCATATGGTCTGGCATGACAACTTTCAAGTACTTTCTTTACCTCACACTCCGGAATGCATCTTTTTACCACCCTATCCACTCATTGCTTGAATAAGAATGGTTCATCCCAGAAATAGAACTTAGCATCATGAGTTAGCTTTTTCTTTTGTTGGGTGGTTGCATCTGGAGGGTACTCTCCACTTACTATCAGATTCACTATATCCGAATACAAGGCACTTGAGAGATATCTAGTGCCATTAACTGTTCATCCAGAAATTCTTCCTGAATGTGTTCCCCTTCATGTACATGGGAAAAATATTTTGACCTAGACAAATGATCAGCTGTTTGATTCTCAGTACCCTTTCTATCTTTGATCTAAAGGTCAAATTCTTGGAGAATCAATATCCACCGAATCAACCTTGGTTTAGCATCCTTCTTGTTGAATAGGTACCTAATAGTTGCATGATCAGTATAAACAATTACCTTGGTATCCACCAAATACGATCTGAACTTGTAGAAGGCGAACACTAGAGCCAACATCTCATTCTCAATCACTGTGTAATTAGCTTGAGCAGAATCAAGGGTCTTGCTCGCATATATAGTAGATTTAATGGAACACTTTATCTTTTATTTGTCCCAATACTGCACCCACTACTACATCGTTTGCATCACACATAAGTTCAAATGGTAACTCCCAGTTAGGAGCAATTAAGATCGGAGCTTCAATTAAGTTCCTCTTCAACATTTCAAACACATCTTATCAAATTTCACCTCTTTCTCCAAAAGACTACACATAGGTCTTACAATCTTGGGAAAATCCTTGATAAATCTCCGGTAAAAACTTGTGTGTCCAAGGAAACTTCGCACCCCTTTTACAGAAAGGGGGGGGGGGGATTTTTCAATAACTTATACCTTGGCTTTATCCACTTCTAATACTGACTTTGACACCTTATGACCCAATACTATACCCTCTCGAACCAAGAAGTGACACTAGCACTAAATTGGTTTCTTCACATCTAGCAAGTACTTTATCAAGATTCCGGAGACATACCTCAAAAGACTTCCCAAAGACTGAGAAATCATCGATGAACACCTCTACAAATTCCTCCACCATATCACGAAAAATGGCCATCATGCACCTTTGAAAAGTCATCGGCGCATTGCAAAGTTCACATAGCATGCATTTGAAAACATATGTACCATAAGGACAAGTGAACATGGTTTTTTCTTGATCCTCTGGTGCAATCAAAATCTGATTATATCTGGAATACCCATCTAAGAAACAATAGTACTTTTGCCCTGCTAGTCGGTCAAGCATCTGATTAATGAAGGGAACAGGGTAGTGATCTTTTCGTATAGCCTCATTTAGCTTCCGGTAATCCATGTAAATTCTCCATCTGGTGACTGTTCTAGTGGAGATCAACTCATTTTTCTCGTTCTTTACCACTGTCATACCTCCCTTCTTTGAGACACACTGCACATGACTCACCCACTTGCAATCAGAAATTGGGTACACGATTCCAACATCTAACCACTTTATTACTTCCTTTCTCACCACTTCTTTCATCAAGGGATTTAGTCTACGTTGATGTTGTGCTCTCGATTTGTGATCCTCTTCCATATAGATTTTGTGCATACATAACACCAGACTAATTCCATGAATATAAACCATTTTCCACCCAATAGCTTTCTTTCTCTGCTTTAAGACTCTCAATGCCGCCCCAACTTGTATTTCAGACAATTCTGCAGAAAGTATTACGGGTAAAGTTTCATTAGCACCCAAATACGTATACCTTAGGTGAGCAGGCAGAGATTTCAACTCCAATTTAGGTGCTTCTTCAATTGATGGTTTGGGTGGAGGCCCTAATTCACGATCCAATGACTCTATTCTACGTCTGTGAAATTCTATGACTGTCAGATTCAAACAAGTCATTATCTCTTGAGCTTCAGTATCTCTATCTACGTCATGTCCTACTAAAACTCTTTCTAAGGGATCCTCGGGAGTAATGAACTGTGATTCTACTGCGAGATCTACAACCGTAATAGCGGACAACTCTTCATAGATAGAAGGCAATTTCAAGGCGCAGTAGACATCAAATACTTCAACCTTTTCGTGTGCCCTCATAGTAAACTGTCCAGCTTGTAACATCTCGCTATTTGAAAGAACTAGAAAGAGTTAGAATTGGAAAGAGTCATTTTAGGAAAGAATGAAAAATCTGGAAAATTGGTTGTTAAGTTATGCTAAGTTTGAGTTTTGGTCAACTTCAAACAACCATAACTCCTAGATCAGGATGAGTTAGATGTTCTTATAGATACCTTAGGAAATATCTTGGAATTATCTTTCCAACGCCGCCGAGTTTGCACGATTTTGAGTTCGAATGAGTGAGATATGCCCATTTGAAGTTGGGTTGTTTAGATAAGGAAAGTCTAATCCGGATTTTAGAAGGGTATTTTGGTCTTTTCCATACCCCAATTAAATTATTTCGTTTTGGTAATTACTTAGGGGTCTAAACTGAAATTGATCAGTTTACGCTTTTGAAATTTGAGTTAGGGTTTTGAGAAAAGAGAAAAGAAGAGGAGGAGAAGCAATGATTCGTGGATTTCTTGGAGAATTTCATGTGTATTTCGCCAAGGGTTAATCCGTACGAGGTATGTTAGATCACTTAGCATTGGATTAGTTCGCCCACGTGCCAATCATGATTCAATTCAGCGTAATTGTGTTCTTTTGAAAGATAAGATTATGAGTTCTTGATGAAATTCGTTTGAAATCTTGTGGGTTTTTGTTGTTGAAGTTTCTTGGGTTTTATTCATGAAATTTAGGTGTTGTTCAGAGTAGATTCTTACATATTTTAGTTATTTAGTCGAATCTAAGTGTTTGGGAAAAGAACCAAGTTGAAATAGGGGGTTTAGAGTTGAAAAACGAGCAAGAAAAGTTAGAATTCACCTAAGAAAGGGCATGGGGCGCCACCCCAGCCAGAGTGCCCCAACAGGATCTCTGAAGTTTGGGCTCTGGGGCGCCGCGCCAGCCAAAGTTCCCCAACCCAGTCTCAGAATTTTTGCCTCTGGCGCCCCACGCCTCTCAGAGGGCCAGGGACGCCAATTCTTCCACCTTTTCCCACTTCTTTCTATACTAGTTCTCTAGCAACGTACCTATGTTTTCTAGTCGATTTCTACACTCTAAGGTATGTATAAACATCATGAAATCATTCATAAACATGAGATCATGAACCTTGAATCCATAATTCAATTCAAGGAAAGTTAAGAGTCAAGTCAATAGAAGTTTATAGAGTTTTCCAAAAGTCTTTTACAAACGTTTTAACTTTGTTTTAAGTCTTGAGTTTTGAGTTGAGTAAAGAGTAAGAGTAAAGTTCATTTCTTCAAAGATTATACGGGAACTAAGTATTCCTAAGAGTTGAAATGTTTTTACATTTAAAAAAGAAAGGAAACACCGATTTCCAAGAGAGCCTTGAACTAGTTTTTGAGTAATTATCTCAAATCACAGAAAGAGTTTTGTTTTAAAACATATGAGCTGAGTATATTTTGAGAGTAGTATTGAGCACCGATATGGGGACGCGAGTTCATAATAACTCAAGTCTCCATAAACCATGTAGCCATCATGGGTAGAAAGGATCATACTTTTTAGATGATTCGGTAGTGCTTTTTAGCATAGACTAGTGGATCCACTTAGTTGAGGCGTTCTATATCACTGCAAGGTATATGACAGTTCTGGCAGCGTGGGCGAGACGATGTATCATCACTTAGGCTCATAGTGATGGTTGTCGGTTAGAGAAACCCCCACATTATTATATTACTTTATATGTAAGTGAGTTGCTATTGTATTTTTTTAATACTTTGAGTTGTCATCTGCTGTTTTTAAATGCTTTGTATAAACTGCATTATTATTGTTGTTTTACCTTGCCTTTGAGTTGAGTTATTCATGAGTTGAATAAAGCCAAGGTAAGTGTTCTTTTTAGATTCCTTTCAAGCTTATGTCATGTTTAGTTTTACCCTCGCATACTCGTACATTCAATGTACTTATGCCATTTGGCCAGCATCTTTTAATGATGCAGACGCAGGTAACCAGGATCAGCATCCAGCGCCTCGTTGATCCAGTTGAGCACTCAGAGTCAGTTGGTGAGCCTCCTTGTTATCCGAAGGACCCCTTTTATCATTTGATTTAGTACTTTAATTGTTAGGATGATCGGGGGTCTTGTCCCGACATCCCTCTTTGTTTTAGAGGCTTCATAGACGAGTAGTTATAGTTCTTTAGTATTTCTGTTTTCAGTTGTATACGTTAAGACTTGAGTTGCCATTTTGGCTAGTTTAATATTTCTTTAAGATATTGCATGAGTTTGTCCTTTGAGACTATTTTCCTGTTATTTAAGTCTTCCGTTCAGTAAG